CTAGGACTTTGTCATATCTCCATTATACTCCAATGTGATTTTTAGAGTGAGTGAGTGAGTATGGTTTTATGCCACTTTTAGCAATATTTCAGCAATATCACGGTGGGGACACCAGAAATTGGCATCACACATTGTACCCATGTGGGGAATTGAACCGGCGTGACGAGCGAACGCTTTAACCACTAGGCTACCCCACCTCCCAATTGGTTTTGAGATATTACATGTTGCAGTATTTTTGGTATGTTCTGATATATTGGCTTTTAAAAAACAATTATAACAATTTTAAATATTTTTGCCTAACCTATTATTTGTTGAACCTAAATTCTACCCAGGCATTAATACAATTTTTTTGTTTATAATCTATTGAAAAATCTGCAGAAATGTAGAAATCCTTCTTTTTCTTGCCACATTGTTATATCCCCTGTATCCATGACAACAAACTGGTTGCAGACAAGCAAACTGTGCAATATTCCCTTTAGTATGGAGAAAATAAGAAAATAGGATCGGCTTGGCAATCAGTATCCATGCCAATCAAACGGTTCAGGCCCAATATATCGGAATATGTATTACAATCTATATGCCTGTATTGCAAGATAGCACAGTACAATGTGGAGCAATTCCCAGCCCTAATATTACATCCACAGTCATAAGAATCAGCCTTTCGTTAACACATATTGGAGTGAGAGAGTAGGTTCCATGCAGTTTTTAGAAAAGTCTCAGTATATAAGAAAGGGACATCAGAAATTGTGACAGGTTGTACCTGGTACTCGAGTGTTGCAAGCAAATGCTTTTACAACTAGTCTACCCCACCATATATTGGGCAACATCGATACAGCGAAACCTATAAAGTGTTATTGCTTGAATGTATGTTTTAGCATTGTTTAAGTGATGGAGAATCCAGCTGATACCTATCCACTTAGTTTGTTTTGGCAGCAGCTGTGTTGTTAAATTCATGTTCCATTATTGTGAATCAGATTACAAAGGAAAGTGAATATTTTTCAAAAAAGATATTGCACTTCATCTGATGTGTGTACCTTGCAAGCCTTCCATAGACATTTATGTTCATTTGAAGCTTTCAGTCAGGTTGCTCAGGTGAATACAACCAATTACAGTATAATGGCTAGGTCGGTATTGGCAAATATATCAATATATTGTAATACAGGCATTTCTATTGTGCTGTAGCATGCTGTCATGATTTGGCTCCAATATATCATGTAAGGTATTGCAATATATTTGGGTGTGAAATTACTTGTGCATTTCTACTTTTTGGTGAATTAGTTTGGAGAGAAATGACAGGTTAAAATTGGTTAAAAATATCCTTTAGACACTTACATTAACATAATCTATCAAGAACATCCCAAATATGTGAAATGATAGTTTCAAATGTGGTATATAATAAAGCAGAATACCTTGTAAGAATATTCATGAAAATGCCCCACTGCTGTTTGTTATCAATGAAATTATTGAACTGAGAATATGTAACTAAAATATACATTTGCCAAACCATTTTGTTTCTAAGTTGAGTGAATAATGAAAAATTAACATTGAACAAAAGGTTGCCTGTCAATAATACTTCATCAAAGTGCCTCTGAGTGAGTGGAATTAGTAAATGGTGGTTAGTGACTGAGTTACCTGTAGTAAATGTATAGGCAGATCCATCTGTACATATCAGATGAAGAGTATTATCTTTTTTTTTCTCAAAATATTCATTTTCATTTGTTATCTGATTCACTATAATGGAGCATGAATTAAAGCACCTCAGCTGCTGCCAAAACAAACTAGTGGGATAAGTATCAGCTGGATTCTCCATCACTTAACATGGCTGAAACATACATTCAAGCAGGGCTACAGATAATTTTTCAACATCAGAGTTGCATTACTCTTATTTATTCAATGTAGGAGTACTGGAAAACCTTAAGGGTACATTTAGAGTATTGAATGGAAATTAATGACGTATCAGTAATCTTGTGTTTCGTTTCATATATGCACCACAACATTGCTACTCTTGTGTAAACAGGTCAATAGACAATAAAACAATACTTTTTCAGATAAATACGTCTGTAAATGATTCTAAGACCGTACACCATTGCTGTTTTGCGTATCTGCTACGCTTTCTAAATTATTTCCTACCGTATCTTGCATATTTTTTATCCGTACATACGCCGATATGACCCTTATCTGGAGCCCTGATTCAAGCAATATCTCTTTATAGGTTTCCCTGTATCAATTTTGTCCTGAAAGTGTATTAAATGACCATTGAAAGTCTTGTGAAAACGGGTGGAAACAAACTGTGCATCCCCCATGACTTTCTCAAAAAGCTGTATCCGCCCCTGTTACGACAGCATAGATCAAGTGTTACTTGATGACATGTAAGTTGTTTCTACGGGGTATTCTCGGGACGTGGACACCCTGTGTCGTGTAAAAACAAGGTCCAGAAAAAAGAGTCCACTTCATGCAAATGGGTTACTGAGCTAATTAACGCCAGACAATAGACAAAGTTTGTGATTACAAGACTTTAGGCAATACTAAATTGTGAAATTATAAGGAAACGAAACAATTTTTTTACGATTTTAATAAGTAAGACACACAATGGCGTTTAAGATAGTGAAAGTGATGCATGATTGACATGATTTTGCCAGAATTATGTAGTACAATTTTTTGACACTGTTTAAACGTTTGAGTAAATTTACTCAGCTATCGGTGTATACTTATCAGAGAGAACATATTTTATCAAATCAATCAACACTGAAAACAATTTCTGAGTGACCTCACTCACCTATCATAGTCATATATAATGCTTACCACCCTTACTAGAGTGAACAGGGTTCATGAAACCTTAACAATTCCGGATAACACAGTTAACATTTTCACACTTCCCAATTAATCCCTTACTAAAACAACACACGACATCAATGGTACACCGTCTGTCCAGGTCCTGCGTATGCAGATTTTCAGGTTGTCCATGTCCTGAGAATGAACCGTTTCTACAGTGTTTCTAATAACTTACATGCAGAGAACATCCAGGCATGGTCCACCTTTATTCAGACACAATACTGTATGTGAGTCACTGCCACTCTGCTACAAGCACCATACAAAGTCCAGCATGAGCGTAGCATGGTCTTGCTGGGGCTTGACTAAACTGTGTTGCAGGGATTGTTTGTGGGGATTTATTCCCAGGTAACTTATCATTCAGACAGGTGAGGAGGTCAGGTGTGACAGCCTACTTAATCTTACTACAAATTATGACTTTCTTCAACATCATAAGGGAATATTTTTTGGGTGGCCCAGGTTTAGAAGTGGGTCTCAGTATTATTGGCATATAGATGTAGTATTAATTTTTAACATTATGTAAAGTTTGTATAATCCATCAGGTTTAAAAGTGGGTCTGAGTGTGATTGGGCTTGACATATAGATATGATATTAATTTCTAACATTGTGTAAAATTTATATCCTTCACTTCAGTTGTTGATAGCAAGTTTTTTATACAATGATTACTGCAATGTTCAAATAATATTCCAGATATCAGAAATGTTTTCGACACAAAGTACTGTTGAGATGAATTAAACTTGTCTGTCATCACGATGAACAAAAGCTTTCACCTCCATGCTTTTCAACCACCTGTCATAATAGCAGCTGATTCAGGACAGCCATTGTTCCATTAATTCTCAAGGCCAAGCACCATGTAGCCAAACATGTATAACTTAATTTCAATTATTTATATGACACTAATGGCCAATCTTAATCCTCATCACCACTGAGTTGTGTATTGATTTGTCAGCCAGCCCATGCCGCTCTGTCACTTTCATTAATTACCGTTGTTTATTTCCTGATAAGTATAGCCTTAATCAAATGCACCCTGGGCTTTGTCGTTAATCATGCGCACAAGTCCCAATTCCAGTGTAACATCCCTTCATTCATCCTTTGTTGTCCAACCTGTGAAGATCAGGGTTAGAATTTGTCTTCTGTAACCCACGCTTGTCGTAAGAGGCGACTAACGGGATCAGGTGGTCAGGCTCGTTGATTTAGTTGACACATGTTATCGTATCTCAATTATGTAGATCAGTGCTCATGCTGTTGATCTCTGGATTGTCGGGTCCAGATACAATTATATACAGACTGCCGCCATATAGCGGGAATATTACTGAGTGGGGTGTTAAACAACCAACCAACATGTGTGTACAATTCCGTTGTTAGTTAGAGCAGTATTCCACCTACCAGTGTAAGGCCGATCATTTGCAGGATGTGCTGCTTGTTGGAAACCACCTGAGGTTGAGCTGGAGATCCTCTGGACTACATGATTTAACGGCTAATTGATTCTTACTTTTTCCAAGATCTTTTAGAAATTGAGAGTTGTAGTTGATTTCCGTTGAGGTTTAGTATTAGTCAGTTGGGTTTCACTGCTGCTTCTGCTGCTTTCTTAGACATCTTTGATACTATTCCTGACTCCTGTTGATAAATTTTGTGATGACAAGAAGTGCAATATCACCAAAAGTGTTACTAAGTAATAGGGCTGCTAATATAACCGTTTTACCGGTATTTACCGATTCAGACATGAAAACGATCACGCATTGCGCACGCTGATCGAAAACCGGTATTTTGACATGCATTGAAAAACTTCGTAACACTCGGAAATCTTCGGATATTTCCGTTTTTAAATTGTTCCTTTCCTTGTTTCATTTGTGCCAAACATTATTTATATTTATATTTTGCCATGATTAAAAGTTATTTTAAAGCCTAATCAAGCATTGTGATTTTGTTGAGTTTTTGCTTTACAAATCAAGCATTAACTCGATTATAAGTAGTTTTTTTGTTAAAAATAATTCTTGCAATATATTGCAATACATATCGCAATACATGCTTTCACATCGCAATATATCGCAATACGCAAATTCACTGCAATACCCACCCTACTAATTATTAAGTAACAGTTAAATTGGAATAGGAGACATAAGTCAGATCCACAGTGTTGTAAAGCTCTGTATGTTTGTTGTCTTCTTCAGGATGAGAAGGAGAACCTTTACTACCCAGGCGACACTTTCCACGAACAGACCTTCTCCTACCTGGTCGTCGACCCACTCAAGAGGCACGTCACAGTTCTCTACCACAAGTTCGGCAGCAGCGTCTACTGAGAACTGGACAAACCATGACCTATGACTGGACACAAACAATGAACTATGACTGGACACAATACTACTTGAGTGCTAAGCCCTCCACAAAACCAGGCCACTCTGTTGAAACACTGTTGTTATTCTTACCCAAGCTTGACCAGACAAGAGCAGAGATGCCAACCACTCCGATTTTGGTGGAGTTACTCCGCTTTTCAAATACGAAATCCGCTGTCCGATTTGTCTTTAAAAAACTCAGATTTTTTTCAGAAAGATTTCTGAAATCTTTTTTTACAGTATACAATTTCGTAAGTCACCGGTGATTTATTTGAGTCGACACCAGTAAAAGCATTCAGAAGCTTAGCGTGTGATCTTTTGGATATCGATTGTGTATATTGGGTGTTATTGACGACGAAGTTTCACAAAGTTTTTCCAAATGTATGTCATAGCCCGTATATATATGTGAAACAAAATGGCGGAGACGACCACGTGTTCACCCCAATTCGCCGCTTCTGTGCTATGGCCTGACTTCCAGCCAGGCCTGACGCCGCTTTCATTAGATTCAGGGTTGGCATCTCTGCAAGAGTGATGGATGATCACACTCACAGACTTTGTTGATTCAGTCAAGTACCCCATTGCAGATCTCTGTCATATTGTTTGAATATTGTTGAGTGTGGCATAAAGTAAGAAACAAACAAACGTTTTTGATGGAACAGAGTTTTTGAATGACGTCGTGCCCCCACCCTATGTTTCACCATACAGATAAGGCAAATATTAAACGACATTTGGAAGCTGATATGATGAAGAGTATATGAATGACATCATGTCCCCCTCCGTACCCCTTGTGTTTCACCATACAGATAAGGCAAATATTGACTTCTTTAAGAGGCATTGAGAAGCTGGTATGATGAAGAGGAACACTATTTATGAATAGACAACTTCTGGACAAAAGGATTGTCCACACAAATGTATTGTTCATTCATTGTACTGATTTATTCACTACTGTTAACCAGACAGGTTATTAGGTTTCAGTTTGTGTACATACGAACAGTTCGCGAAAACACACCTGACAACAACTTACTTCGCGGAAAGTTCGAGCATGCAAAAAGCATACGTTTTCGCCACGTGGGGGTTCGGAAGTGAAATTGTAGTTAGTTCGTTTCGATACGTTGATAAGGCAGCACACCTTGAGGTTGTCAGTTAGTGGTAACCATTTGGGTGTTAGATAGTTTGACAGAGGTTTAGTGTAATAGAAGTTAGGAATGTGAGACATTGTAAAGGTAATAAAAGGTGAATTAAAAGAAATATATCATTTGATATCACAACTAGTACAGTTCCTGCTGACCACCTTCTTTATTGCAATAGATGCAATGTTTCGGTGTAGATCCTACCACCCTTATCAAGCTAATGATACACAAGGAGAAATATATACATGTACATGAAGGGTGTGTTTAAACCATTGAAGAGGTTGCTATACCTGTTTCCTTCATATTCTCCTTGTGCATAAGGTTGTGTATCATTTGCTTGATAACAGTGGTAGGATCTACACCGAAACCTTGCATCTATTGCAATAAAGAGTTGTCTATCCATAAAAAGGTGGTCCTCTTCGAACATTATTGTGTTGCAAATACTGATACACATAAATGGCCCTGCAGAGTTCACAAACAGTAAGTTTCAGGATTAAGTGGACTCACAGGCAATGAACAGAGGCTGAATAGCAGATAATTTTTTCTCTCATAAATAAATTTGGCAACAATTCATCTTTGCTACAAGTATGTAGGTAAAGATCCCTTTAAGCTTAATGTTAAGCTCGATACATTGGTTACCTGTGAAGATCTAGGTTAGAATTGGTTTTCAGGAACCTATACTTGTTGTAAGAGACAACTATAATGATCGGGTGGTCAAGCTGGCTGACTTGGTTGACACATGCCATCATATCCCAATTGTGTAGTACTATGCTCATGATGTTGATTGCTGGATTGTCTGGTGACCACCACCATATGACTGCCTCCCTTTAGTCGCCCCTTATGACAAGCATGGGTTACGGAAGACCAATTCTAACACGGATCTTCACGGGGGCTACAACGAAATGAAGAGAACTATATACATACCGTAGTATGGTGTGACAAACATCAGATTAACATTAACAACAGCATGTAGTTGAACTGCAAGTGTTACAAACACAAAGTTGTTATCCTAAAGTCATATAAGGTGTAATTCTGGTCTGTCATCAATAGATATATACAAATACACCAATAGATGTATATATAGATGATATGTTGATAAGAGGGTGTGTGCTGAAGTAGAGTTTCATTATTTATTAACCAAATAATCCATGTTCTGTTTGCAGCGTGAATTGTACCATTACCTCCTTTCTTCACTGCCACATGTTATTGATTGTGTGAAATGTTGTAATGTCAGAAATAGAAAGAAAAATAAGTCTATGTCATGAATACATAATGCCATTTAGAACGTGGTCAAATGTAACGTATATGTTACATTTTGGATTACACTTTCTCAGTAAAGTACAGATGCTAGCACTTTTGTTAGGGTGAGTCCCATCCGGGATTCGAACCCACACTCTCAGAGTCAGGCACCTAATTGCTATCACACAAAGTCGGCCGCCTAACCCGCTTCCACAAATGAAGTATAAACAACAATAACAGTATCATACCAGGGATAGAAATACTTTTTTTCTAAGTGTGCCTTAGGGCACCAGACAAATATTTTAGGTGTGCCTTTCAGAAGTTGAGTATGCCCACATGTTTTTAGAGTAAATGACAATGATGATGATCTTTTGAAATTTATTGTTAAATAAAGAAATGGGTTTATGAGCATTCAAATATGTATGGTATTATTCAATTTGAAAAAAATAATTGTTTTGGGGATTAAATGACTAAATGTGAGTTATGTCTCTGAAAAATCAGGCGTGTCAAAAGGGCCCCGAGAACATTTTTTAGCCGTACCATTTCAATATTTACCGTGCCATGGCACACTAATATATGGGGTATTTCAAACCCTCGTATCTATGATGTGGTGATGTCTTGGACAGGTTGAGTGGCCATATATTTACCATTTGTTGACAACATCTAGCTAGAAATAAAAATCAATTCATTTCCAGTTCGAGCATGTGATAAACAGGCTCAAGTTCAACTGTGTGTTTATACGCGCAGCAGTGACGATTTTATTACCAACTACAGTCTATTTTAGAAGCAGACATGTTGATGAAATATATATGTCCACTGTATTTGCACTGGATGATTTAAAGTCCGTGGTCTGCCAGACTATGAAGTCAGATAAAGGCTCGATTTAGATTATCTGATACATGCAACAGTGCATATATGCTAGAAAAATGCAGCCTGACATTTGTGTCAATCTGCTCCAAGTGCATATAAAAAAAACATTTAAAATTCAATTCAAAATTTATGTCTACCAAACTCTTATTTTTCCTCACTCCAACTATTTTTGAATACATTCTATACCTGTAGGACCTGTTTTCCATTCTAGGTCACTGAAGTCTGTGCTTTTAGTTAATTGTCAAGTTAGGATTTAAAGTCACATCGACAGTATTTCAGCCTTAGATGATGTGACCCAGGCAGACTGGCATATGTTTCAACTTCAAGAAATGGTACATCGATGGTACATAAATTTAACACATACTTCAAGATTATATGCACATGGTGTGATTGTGTTCTACAGAACATCAGTAAGTGATGTGACTCAGGCGGACTGGCCTGTTTCAACTTCGACACATTTTTTGGACCAGAAGGACACCTGCTATGTCTGGTGCACCTGGGGTTTCATGTCACCATTCACCTGGTACGAGTCTAGTCCATGAATCGAGCCCTATATGATGACTCATCATCATAGTCTTCATCTGACAACATTCTCCATGTATTATTGAAGTGGATGTCTGTTTGGGCAAGACAAACATACTAAGTTCAGATAATCAATTAGTGTAATATATTACAGATGACAGGTATGTCAACATGCTGTGTCAGTCCATGTTCAAAATCAATCAAGTTTTGTTACAGTTTTTGTCTTCATTCATGTAGAACATTGCATTCAGTGTGGCTTATATATTATATTTCTGACTGAAATACCAGTATCTTATTTCCATGATAAAAGTTATACACGTTTCTAGCCAGTCAAACAGACCCTGAAACAAATATATCCAAGAAAACCCTTGCAGGTCTAGAATATGTGGCAAGTTTAGATTACCAGTTTCAGCAAAATGAAGGAAGTCTCTAGACCTCGTTTCATTTCATTTTAAGAATATAATTGTTGAACCATTATTTTCTGTAAAATATGTTCATTTCAGAGGGGGTGGTGGGGTAGCCTAGTGGTTAAAGCGTTCGCTCGTCACGCCGAAGACCCGGGTTCGATTCCCCACATGGGTACAATGTGTGAAGCCCATTTCTGGTGTCCCCTGCCTTGATATTGCTGGAATATTGCTAAAAGCGGCATAAAACTAAACTCACTCGCTCACTCATTCATTTCAGAAACTAGATTCTAAACTATTTCCAATGCAAAGTGTTTCTAATGAATCAAGAATCTTATATCATTACCTCCCTTTTCAAAGTGGTGGTTGGGTAGCCTCAGCCTGTGGTTGTTACAGTGTTGTGAACTCTGTGTTGATGCAAAAGAATGTCTTGTATTTGATGGCATAATGCAATGTTCACTGAGTCTTGTAAGATATTCCTTGGGAAACTGTTTGCCCTTCCACCTTGCCGATGTTTAGACATACCAGGAAGACATTTTCTTTCTATTTCTAGCAGAACAATAATGACCATTGATTATCCCCCATAAAAACTGTTTGGTCACGTTGTTTTGTTTGTTCCCAGGATGCACCATAGTTGCAGCAAGTGTTTATGATTGGACGCAACTGTATCACATCATACTATTATGTATACTTTTGTAATAAAAAAACTGAATGTGAAATGCCCATTGATTTCTGTTATCAATGACCTGGATCCGGGTGCTGAGGTTGTTGAGATTTAGCTGACTAAGCACTTGACACCCTATGAAAGTGCTCAGATATTGCTGACTAAGTATTTCACACCCTATGAAAGTTTGTTTGTTGTCTAACGCTGCACTCAGCTATATTCCAGCTAGACGACTGCGGTCTGTAAATTAATAAATCTGGATCAGACAATCCAATGATTGATATCATGAATATCACAATAGACTATCACACAATCACTACAGACGCTATGAAAGAGCTAGTATTTTGCTGACTAAGCACTTGACACCCTATAGAGGAACTGGGATGTTGCGGATTAACCACTTCTGAAATTGCTAGTCAAGTTCCTCACATCTTGCATATTGCTGACCAAGTTCTGCACATTATTAGGGCGATGGTTGATTCAGTCTTCAAAAGCAATACAATTTGGTGTTCCTTGGATAGATTGTGTCCTATAATCAAGAGTTTGAACCCTAGATTCACAATGATTATGTTTCTAGGTCTGGTCAGCACTTCGTCTGAGCTCAAGAGGTTTCACCAAATGCTGAGACCTGCACTTTGAAGGCCTTTAATAAGCATGAAGCTGACATTTTGAAATAAATAAAATTCTGTTCAAAACAGCATTGAAACAAACTCACTTTTGTCATTTCTCTTCCTGATGAAGCAGCCAAGATTCTATTGACTTCCGTGTTTATTACCCTATAAAGCATCCACAAGTGGGATGGTGATGAAATCTGTAGGTCCCTGGGTTATCCATTCTCCTGAAGACATTATCGCCCTTCTGCTTATGAACCTTGCCT